AAATGATTAAATATTCAGTTTTTATAAATAAGGGTTGAAGGCTCCAGGTATACCATTGCCTCCAACACCTATATTAACAAGATGGGGTACATGGATTTCTGCTTCAATGTACTATTCCGAACATATAGAAGCTATTCGAAATGTAATACAGAAATTGAACCCCGAAGACGCCGCGGCGTTTCAATAGACAAATTTAAAAAATTAATTTCTAAAGATCAAGTTGAAGCAAATTTAACTTTTATTCATTTAAACTATAGATTTTTACCAACTACCATAACATCTTTAGAAAGCCAGAATGTTTTACGAGCAGACTCAATTAAATTAATAGAAACTGCGCGAAGTAAAATATGTGAAGTTAGTGGTACAAATGGCACTGATATTAACAACAAATGTGAAGATGTTTTTAAAAAAATAATGGTTTTCATGTTCTTACGAAAATTTCTAAAGTATTATCCGATGATGTATTCACATTAGAAGGTATCCCAGAAAATTTGACCAGCAACGATTTGTTGAATTATAAATACGCACATCGGGTAAAAATTAAAATGTTTATCATCTGATTAATGTTTTTGTTTTTTAATTTTAATTTTTTAATTTTAAATATTTTTTAATATCACACATTTTTGTAAATCATTATTCATTGGCAATAAATAATAATATTGTATTATAGTATAAATTGTATAATACATAAAAAAATAAATAACATTTTTTTTAGAGCATATTTTAAGCGCATATAATTGTTGGCCCTACAATAATATGATCAATATACATTTAGCTGCGTTTTTCACATGAGCTCGAGCACGAGTGAGCCGTAGTAAGTTTGTTTTTCAAATAAAATAATAATTAAATGCAGAAGCACATGGATTCGGCTCAGGAACGTGAAAAAGTCATTTTAATATGACGAACGAATTTTGCTCAAATATCAATTAAATCTTTTGATTAAGACATCGAGCCGACAATTAGTGGCTCGCGGGTTTCGTGGCTCACGAGCAAAAAAATTTAAACCGAGCATAATACAGCATAATACGTCTTAATTCTAACGTGGTTAGGTTAAAAACAGGCTATAGAATACGAAACTATAAAATTATGTTTAATATTATATTTAGTCTTTCTATATTATCTTATTTTATAGCCAGTTAATAATTACAGTCAAATGAAAAAAATTGATAACAGTTAATAGATAATAGCATATTTTATTACACCCCAACTAAATAATACATTTATGACACAAATATTACATAATATACCTATTTAGTTGGTGTAGCCGTGTAGGTAAATAATTATAATTTAAAACTTGTTATGGTGTCTCCAGAAAAACTACAAACACGTTATATTTTGTAAGTTGCACATTACACGTAATTATTGTTATTTATTTAATATTCTATTTAATATTAACAAATCAAAACTTATAAGACTATAGTAAATTACTTACCTTTTTACTATCCATTTTAAAAAGAACCTTTTAAAATAAAATTAAAAATCATTTAATTCTGTGTATGTCTGTTATAAATCAATGCAACAGCATTCTGTTAATGAATGGTGTTTTCGCTGCGACAGAGCTTACGATAGAATGCAGTTTTCTGCCGCAACTTGCGCAGATGATAGACAGAAATGAACTGGGTGACCAATAATAACAACAAATGATTATAAGATCAATTAAATATAAATTATAAATAATATGTATATTAATGTGACACTGTCACAAAGTGCTACAAACAAACTTACAAATATAATATGAAAGTAACACGGGGCCCCAAAATCAATATAATAAATAGCACCTAAATAACTATAATAATAAATAGTACAAAAATATAAATACTAAATTCACCTTTAAGGCCAAATAATGGTATACAATACAATAATGCAACTTATAGACCTGAGTATCCAGTAGTCACGATCCTCGGATCCAAATTGACACTCCTCACTGGTGTGGTAGATGATTATAGGACCAGCTTGACGACGTATATGTATACGATCCAATATGCATATATATTATACACATATGAATACGGCCGACGGTTATTGGATATAATAATATATTACTACGTCACATAACAAATAAACCAAGACGTAAGTTTATATAAACACCGGATTGACAATAACAGGGCACGTGGTTCCTATGCCACCGGGCAACGTAACCGGGCACACACGTACATAAAGGTGTCGGGCCTAGTGCGGCAACAACACAGGTCGACCGGTTTAGACGACAGTCATGAAAAAAAGTGTATATGGCGCGACAGAGTTGACGCGTCGATCGAGACGGCGGCGACAAGTTCACGGCGATCACAGCTTGACCACTCGGGGGGAAAACTAGACAAGTGTGTAGACCGGACTGTCACTTGCGCTACGATGGCCTTTGACCCGGCTGAAACGCGCCAAGAGGATCGGTGTTCGAACAAATGGAATATAATGATAATCAATATCTCTCTTGTAAATTATAATCCAAAAAAGATAACATGATATTGTGAATAATGCACAGACACATAAAACTTATGTCTATGGAATAAATAATAATGATATGTATATTTAAACATTTGAAAACTCAGTTGATAAGAAACACATGCACCGTGTTCTCCGGCAGCTAGGACACATAGTGATAAAAATAGAATACAAATAGTATGATAAACAATGGAAATCACTTAAAAAACTTCAAAACAGTGAATTTATATTTTTATTTAATAATGTTTACGTAAAATACTAATCTTTGTAATCAATGATAAAACAAAACGTTGATTTGTTTCTTTTCATAATATTATTATTTGTTATTTAATAATATATTATCACACGTAAATTCTTAACGCAGTAAGTAGTAACGCACATGATATTATCATACATTATATGAAAACAGATTGTGCACTTGGATGTAAACAAAAATTGGCTATACAATGACTATACATTAGATACATATCTATCTTCATTATCTCTGATATAATAAATTTCTTTTAAATACACGTCGAATATTTCACGTGTATCTTTTGACGTGTAGGATTTTTAAATACACGTAATTCACATGAATTACGTGAACTACGGGTTACACGCAGCGGCGGATTTAAAGGAGCACACAACACAAAAAATAAGTTTTTTTATTTGAAAGAATGTTCAATTCTAAGGATAATGGTATGGGTTTTACGTTTCTACTCTCATTATTCAATAAGTTATGAGCAATTGAAAAAAGACGTGTGACGTCACTGGGCCGGAGTCATCGTAATTGCCTATCTTATACGTGTAAAAGTTCCTCGCTTCACACAACGATTTATCAACCTAAACATTTTCTTTTTAAAATTTAATTGACGTATAAATGTGTGGTTTTATGTATTTAAGACGATGCAAGAATCAGAATTTCAATATGACGTTTAGTTTTTTAAGTATTTAAAATCTTAAAACAGACATTTTGGTTAAACGGCGGACCCGTTTTTCGAACTCCGCGCGCCGCTCGCCATGACGTGCGGTTTAACCAAAATGTCTCTTTTAAAAATTTTAATATTTAAAAAACTAAACATCATATTGAAATTCCGATTCTTGCATCGTCTTAAACACATAAAACCACACATTTATACGTCAATTAAATTTTAAAAAGAAAATGTTTAGGTTGATAAATCGTTGTGTGAAGCAAGGAACTTTTACACGTATAAGATAGGCAATTACGATGACTCCGGCCCAGTGACGTCACGCGGTTATTCTACATCTCCTAATATCTCTTAAAGTAATATTTTTTTTTACATCGTATCTTCACAAAATCATTTCATATAACCATAACTACAATAATTTGCATTTAAAAAAAATTTTAAGAATTATTATTTTAAATATTTTTATTTGTGTTGTGTGCTCCTTTAAGGGTTCTAATAAAGTAGACTAATCCATAGTAGGGCCTCTTAAAAAATTTCAGTTACATACCCTATTTTACAAAACCACTCGCGAAAACAATGAACGACCAACATTCTTTTTTTGAAAGTAAGTAATAGAAAATGTTATTTATTTATTTTTTACAAATAAAAGAAAATGTATAATAGATATATAAAATTAAATTTAAAAAAATTATTTTCTATTTCATTTTCACTATCAGTATGTAATGCAATATTATTAGTGTCTTCTAATTCACGTTCATATAAATTTTGATCTTCATTTACTAAATTTGTAAAACTTTCGGCAGATTTTGATTTTTCTAAAAGTAAATTAAACATTAGCACTGGATTTTTCCTCCGCTGCATTTTGTAAAACTAAATTTATTTGGTGACTAGGGCAATGAATATATTATGGAGCATAGGATTTTTCATTATTACAATTTCTCATTTAAGTAATCATTAATTTTTTTTGGAGACCTCCATGAACGCCACTCATTACTGCAGCCACATCATATGCTTGGCCAACTAAGTATTTTGGATTTAGTTCATACTGTTTGAAAAAACATAAAAAATAGCTCAGTTATTTTTACAGTCCTTTGTTCTTTATGACTGGGTTAAATGTTTCCAATCCGAATAACCAGAGACCCAAATTGATTGCTTAGTAGTATTGAGTCCGATTTGGACCGATTCGGAGTACTTGGGTGGGCCAAGTTCACAAGTTCAAAAGCTTACGGCCGGAGCACGAGTGACTTGCAAATGCTAAAACCAAACTTGCAAATTCTTGCAAATCAGTAGCTATCGTTTGGTTCCGATTTGGACCGATTCGGAGTACTTGGGTGGGCCAAGTTCACAAGTTCAAAAGCTCACGGCCGGGGCACGAGTGACTTGCAAATTCTAAAACCAAACTTGCAAATTCTTGCAAATCAGTAGCTATCGTTTGGTTCCGATTTTGACCGATTCGGAGTACTTGGGTGGGCCAAGTGAATTTGGCCCACCCTTAAATTTCTCAAAAACCGGTTACTTGCAAATTCTAAAATTGTGCTTGCAAATTCTTGCAAATTACTTGCAAAATATTGTTGGTGCTTTGAAGTAAATTCTATAACTTGGGTGGGCCAACTTCACATACGTCTATGTATTAATTATTGTTGCAAATTTTAACTTGCTATTGTATATACATACTTAAATTTATTATTACATTTAATATTACATTTTTATTCACTCGAATTTAATTTCTTAAAATAATCTTAAATTGAACTTTGCTTCGTAGAATATCCTAAAGCCATCACTTTCCTTTCACCATCAGTGTTCTTTCATATTTTGTGTAATACAATTTTTCGAGAGTTCTTAGAGCAGCACGAGCTTCAGATATTAATGGTAGAGTTCCAAAGTCGTCATCAAGTTCACCATCATCCGGTATTGGTAAAATACGATTGAGAACGTTATTTTTGATAACACGATTGAGAACGCTCTATATTTTTTTTTTCCAACGTTGCCAAATGTCATCGAAAGATAATTTGAGCACGATAATCGGCTATCGAACGATAAAGAACGTTATACCTTTTGGGCTGAACGATTGATCCGGTTGATATTTAATATTTATCGGACGTTTATCGGATCCTATTTATAACGTATTTACCAGATATACGAGAGAATGACTTTGTCGCAGAAACGTAAGGTTAGGTTATGTTGGATTACGCTATCCCGCTATAACTAATGTATAGGTAACTCATTTGTCATTACATTTTTTACTTTTTTTACATATTTATTACATATTTTTATAATAATACATTTTTTAAAATTTTTTAAACATATTTATATTACATATGACTTTTTTCTAGAATATTTGTTAAATGGTAAATAATAAATGATATGGCAACGTTGCTCGTAAATTCGTTCTCAATCGTATTCTTTTTTGTGTTTTTTTAGGGTCAGTGGTAAGTTCTTTGTTATTTTTAAGTGTTCTCAATCGTTCGGCCAAAAAGGTATAACGTTCTCAACCGTTCGATAGCCCCATCATCATTATCTGGTTTATTACTGGTCATGACATCTTTAATTATATCTTCATTCGTTGCAATTTCTGACGTTGTGATGTCGTCATCAACGTGGATATAGTCGTCGTCGATGTCATTAATTAATTGATGATCCACAATTAGTGATCGCCGTCTATTTTACATTACGTCGTGCTTTGTCCAGCATATATATATATAAGTACATAATAGGAAAAAGATAACGACCAGTTCGTTATAACCCAATATTTATTTTTATTATTTAAGTATTTTACTAGTTATAGCCGATAACTCGAAATGGGCACATGTATACTCCACAAGAACTTTTTCTTTTAGTGTAAAATTCGCCAGGAAAAAAAAAACAGGTAAAATTAGGTTTATGTAACTCTGCTAGTAAAGAAAATCAAGTCACGGTATAAAATTAATATATAGGACAAGTATTATGTACATTATTATAATATCCCAAAAAATATACAAAAATTAATAAAAATAATAATTGTCAGAACAAATCATCCAAATTGTCATGTGTATTATCAAAATATATAATTGTAATAATCATAAAATATGTACCTAGCAATCTAGGTATGTTATGTTATAATATGTTGAACTGTGAGCTAATATTATGAGCTACAATTTTTTGTACTTCTATGTAAACATTTAGGTACCTCTTAGATAAGAGAATTTCGGTCATTTTGTGGGCTTCAAAATCATTTCCAAGTCGGCTATCTAGTATTTTGTATATATCTGTGTAGTTCGCTTACCATGGTTGATATAAATTATAAGTGATAAGTTATTCACCATCAATATTTTCTGTGTATAGTCTATATATTATTTTATTTATAATCATCTATAATCGAACACGTTTTAAAGAAGTAAAAATATTTTTTTAAGGAGAGTGAAATTTTCAATTTTGAAATATATCAAGTGAAATATTGCAAATTCAGAACCCTAAATAATTAAATCAATATGCCATAACATACCACTGATAAACTTAAAGGTTTCCAAATTTCAGTTTATTTATTTAAATTATTAACGGGAATTTAGCCCAATTACAGCATATATTTTTAAGATTAAACATTCAGAAAAAAAATGTACATTATAATAGAAGAACCCTTTTTTTTGGTAACACAAAATAAGTAAAAAAAAAAATATGTTTTATTCAGTGTCCATATGTTTAGTAATAATATAGTTGTCAACTTTTAATAATATTTTTAATTATTATAAGAGTTCTATTGAAAACACCGATCACGAGCTTTTTACCACCACTTTCTCAATTATAATGCGAATTGCGTTATCGAAAAATAATATTACTTTTCTTATCGACATGCGAACAACACTCAAACGTAACTCAATGCAAATAAATCTGTGAATGTGGTATAACAAGAGGTTTTGACATAAAGTCATATTAGAATTGAGCAACTATAAGTATAGAATCATTTGGAAATATTCATAAATAAAGTTAAATTTTACAAATTATTATTTTAATTATAGAATCATTTTTAATAGTAATTTGTATATAGAATCATTAGAATCATTTGTAAATATAATTATTATTATTTTTTAAATTTATAATTCAACTACTACTACTAGTATTTAGCACTTGATAAAATTAATAAAAATACATGTATTGGTTTAAGAATTTTATTTAGAGAAAGCAAAACTACACACAGGCGAAGCCGGGTAATTCAGCTAGTACGATATAAAAGCCGACCGATAAATAATCGGTCATGTTTACCAGGTCGTAGAATAATAATTTCTTACGTAAACCAATATTGTACAAATTTGGTTTATTTTACCTATTTTGGTTTTACGTTTTTTAAATAATTATTTTTGTCCGCGACTCTGCGTTGGGTCGGTTGTCATGATAATAATAGTATAGTATAATATATTACGCATTGCTAAGAAAGTATGTTATTTTCCCATCTAATGCTTTTGTTTATTTTCTTTTATTTTGGAACCCAATCATTTAACACTGTGTGCTGTGGCAATCTCCACAAGCTATATAATACAATATTTTGAATTTTCTAGCATAGAGACTAAGTTATACAAAGAACATTCTTATAAAACAATAAACTAACCTNCACAAGCTATATAATACAATATTTTGAATTTTCTAGCATAGAGACTAAGTTATACAAAGAACATTCTTATAAAACAATAAACTAACCTTAGATCGAATCGGTTAATTGTGCATCAGGAATCAGGATGTACCTACATGAACGGAAAATGATGAAGACATTTCGCTCCGACTTGCACCTTAATCGATACGATTGGTTTGAGCGTTGAAATTTATTTTACATAGGTATAAAGGTATCCAATAGTTTTTTATCACGACAACTGGCAAGCTACAAAGAGATACAGGTACCATCATAATTCATGCTTCTGGCACAAATTTCCAAAACGCACAGCATAAGACACTATTAGAACAGTTAGCCGTTAGGTATGCAAAAAACTACACAACGAATCTTTTTTTATTTTAAATGTAGAAGTCGATAATTTTGTATAATATACAGCTCATTATAAATAATAAATACAACTTATTTTAATATTACTTCTATTCTAAACATAAACATTTATATACATATATAACAAACTGTTACACTGGAGGGTTCAAGGGTAGCAGCTGCTACCCCTGATTTTTTTGGTTGGTGGGTGGGTGGGTGCCATGGGTAAGTGTCTCCAAGTTACTAAAATGTCTACAACGTAACAATATTCTACTATGTATAAAAGTATTTAAAATATACTATTAAATAATATAGGCTATGGCCATTAGATTAAAAGCCAATATAAGAGGTAAGTAGCAGTGGCGGTTTTGACATGTAATTTTACATGAGGCGGAAAAATATTAAATATTAAATAGTAAATACACTATTACTCTAACACAGGAACAAAATTATTAGGTTAATTGGTAGGTATGGGTTATCAAAATGGAGCGGAAAGATTAGCCAGTTATGATTAGATCACTACTGTTGCCTAGGGTGTACCACGTAGAGGTTTTTCCATACACCCCTCCCTAACTATATACATATAATTTACAGTATTTTACACACATAAAATATAAACAACATAAAACAATATAATATATTACATGACTAGTGTTTTAGTCGTAATTTGATTTAAACATAAAACATAAATACATAATTATTAATAAACAAAATATAGGTGTACCTACCTAATATGACACGTAAAACAAAAAAATAACGATAACCTGTCAACTGACATAAACCTTTTATAATAAAACATATACAATACACATTTTATTGAATAATACATAATTTACAAAATATATGATTTGACATATTATATATACCTACCTACCTAATGTCTTAATATGTTTTTATGATTTATATCGTAAATCAATACTTCTATTTTTTTTACTCGCATAAATATTTATGACTTCATCATAAAACGCTCCAGTATGTTTAAGTTGATCAATTAACTCCTTTTCAATTGAAATTATAGCAAGAGAACTCAATCGATTTTGGGAAATACTATTGCGCAAATATGTTTTTATACGTTTTAGACAGGAGAAACTCCTTTCCACTGATAAACTGGTTGATGGTATAGTTAATATTAAAGAAAATAGTTTATATACTTCAGATAAAATTACTTTTAATCCACTACTCTCAAATATTTTTACTAAATCATAAACATGATGTAAATCTTGATATTTTTCATCACTGTATAATACTTCTAACTCTACTTTTAATTTGTTATTATCAACAAATATGTCAGAATAAGATTCTCCCAGATTTTCAAATGCATTTGCAGGGAAATTTGTAGAATAGTATTTAAATTTTGAAACATCAGCCAGTTGTAAAAATATCAATTTATCAGTATTTTGAAACCTCGTAGTTATCTGAAGTAAAATATTGTCTAATATTTCATAGTATAATAATTTATAATTTAATTCAGAATTAGAATTATTTCTTGTTGCCTTAGGGCGTTTTGTTAACGCCATCGCATTATTAAATAGTTTTAAAAACTCAGATTCATTTCTTTTTTTACTAACGAGATCATAGACTATATTTATTTGTCGCATACAATATTCCATATCAAATGACTTATTTTGAAGTGTATTAAACAAATTGTCAGTGAGTAAAAATATACTATTAAATATTTGAGCTAAAAAAGCGAAGTCAAATTTTTTTAAATTGTTTAAATGCCCAGTTGAACCACAAATCGATTCAGATGATGAATTTGAATCTTTTATAATATGTTCAAAAACCGTTTTAAATTCGTCCCACTTGTCTACAACTAAGTTCAAAATTTTTGAGCGAGAAGCCCATCTCGTCTGAACAAATTGCGGTATGCGTTTACCAACAATAGCATCTACAACATTCGTACGCGAGGTAGAATTATGAAAAAAAGCGGAAATTCCAGTAATGTTTGCAAAAAAAATACGACACTCTGTGTTAGCACTGCAGCCATGCTGCAACACCAAGTTCAAACGATGCGCTAAGCAGTGTGTAAATAACGCATTAGGAGCAACCTCTTTAACTTTGGCTTGTAAACCATTTACATGACCGGCCATGACACTCGCGCCATCATAACACTGACCAATTAACTTTTTTTCCATATCTAATTCTAATAATACAGAATTTAACGTGTTGAAGAGACCCTCAGCAGTGCGATCCTCACTAACATTATAGAAGCCAAGAAACCTTTCTACCAATTCAGATTTACTTGTTATATACCTTAGTATGATTGAACATTGTGTTCTTTGCGAAATATCTGTCGTATCATCAACTT